CATCTCTCCAGCCCTGTTTTATTTTTTTTTTAATATTTATTTATTTATTTATTTATTTATTTAGTGTGTGTGTGGCCAGCTCAGCCCACCAGGGGGCGGGACGGGCTGGCATGTGGTGCTGGGGATTGAACCGTGGTCGCTGTGCTTTTGCTTAGCTTGTTGTAAGTAGGTGCTTTAGACCACTGAGCCATCTCACCAGCCCTCCAGCCCTGTTTTATCTTTGTTACTTATTAGAATAAAAAGCTCTGTGCAGGAGTTTACTTCTTATTCATTATGCTTCCTCTAGTGTCACTATATCACAAATCCCTACTTAATTATTGAAGGAACTATTCTTTTGTATCAAGTTTTTCACTATTTAGAAAGAAGGTTGTTAAAAAAATTTTACTGTATGATAATATTAATTGGGCTATAATCCTAACAGCCACAACACATGAAAGAAGTATAAAGAAAATGCTTAGAATGTCAATTTTAGCAGATGGTGAATTTTGGCTAGTTTCTTGGGAGAGGGAAGTTGAGACAGAATCTTGCTATGTGGCCTATTCTGGCCTTGAACTTGTAGCAATCCTGTAGACTCAAACCTCCAGAGGCTGGCATGTACCACCACACCCCACTTAGATATTTTTAACAATAACCCACAACCGTCGGACCAACTTCACTTAGATATTTTTAATGAGAATAAAGCAGTTGGATTTACTTTTATTTCATTCCCAGGTTCTCCGTGGAGGAGCCAGTCAGCGTCCTTTGACTCCAAATCAGAACCAGCAGGGACAGCAAACAGATCCACTAGTGGCAGCTGCAGCAGTGAATTCTGCTCTTGCTTTTGGACAAGGTCTGGCTGCAGGCATGCCAGGTAAGACTGCACTCTAATGCTTTTAGGAAGGAGGTGGAATCAGCTTGTTTCTGGCGATACTGAGGTGGTGAGTGGGCAGTGCTTTCAAAGAGCCTATAACTTGTGATTTGAGGACTGGCAAGGAAGATACATACTTGCCCTCTCTTAGACCGTAGTTCATTGATGAGAGCATTGTTCTGAGCCAGTCTGAAATCTTACATGCTGGAGATGTGTATGTCCACACAACTTGAAATACGTGGTTTTCTTTTGTGGAGACCTCTGTACTCCCTCAGGATTAAGAGTGGGTAGAATGGCCAGCCTATTTTGGCATCACTGTAAAGGCTTTAGTACGTACGTACGTATGTATGTATGTATGTATGTGTGTGTGTATTTTTTCCAGACTTGCTATGTAGCTTAGGCTGGCCTTGAACTCAATTTGGGGCCCAGGCTGGCCTTGGAAGCATGGGGATCCACATCTCTCAGCCTTGCAAGTGCTAGGATTGTAGGCGTGTGCTACCATGCCTGGTTATGCCTAAATGTTTGAAACAAGGTTAAGAAGAAATTCCACATGTTCCTTATAGAGCTGTCCCTTGCACATCTAGAATTTCTTCCAAATAATAGAGCTTTTTAGCTGCCTACCTCTGAGTTATAAATGTACATGTGTCATAAGTATAATTTTGGTTTTGGCTCACAATCCTGTACTTTGCATAAGATTTGATATAGTAGATCTTTCACTGACTGTGGAGTATAGCCAAAATTAATCTATTCATGAATTCAGTAATAATGTTAACTTATTTTGTTAGTAATCAAGTGTTTTTTATTAGAATGTGATTTCTAGTTATTCAGATGGCTCCAATCAGGAGACATTCCAAATTACCTACTATTGAAGCCTGTCCAGTTTCTTTTTCCTGCTAACTTGCAAACTATTTGTGTTTAGATTAATGTGAAAATTTTATTGTTGCAACCAGTATAGCTTTTGTTACTTGTGTAGCTAAGAAAACAATGTATTGTCCATATTTGATTACTGATGATAGCCTTGGTGGTGGGGAGCAGCACAGATATTTCCTGTCACACGTCATTTGTTTCCTAACAATTGGAAGAGTATGCATAACACTTCTTTATTGTATTCTTAATGTGTACCAGACACTATGCTAAATGCTTTACATTCATACATTGTTTAGTGTTTTTCAAGGGCTTTTTGAGGCAAATGGTAGTATTATTAGCCTCCTTTTACAGATTGGGAAATGAGTACTCAGATTCTTGGAACATCCAGCTAGTTCCTTAGAGCCATGTTATAATTCTAGTCCTCTCTGCAATATGCTGGTGGACAGGGAGACTTTTTTAGTACACTAGACATTCTTCCCCCCAATCCATTGGTATTCTAAGACCCCAGATGCATGAGGTTGTGGATAGGGTGAACCCTATATGTACATACTGTTTTTCCCCTATGAGAAGGCTTAATTTATAAATTGGGCACAGTAAGAGATTAACAAGAACACATCACTGTAGATTTTAGTGACTTGAGCATGTCAGTTTTACTTTTCAAGTCAAGAACTTTCACCTTTTCGCTTAGCACTTAATGGTGTCTGTGGCCTGTCCAGGTCTCTAGCATCACTACTTTGAGACCCTTTCTAAGTAAATAAGGGTTTCTTAGGCAGAAGTGCTGCAGTGCCAAAATTGATGTAATAACTGAGACAGTCTGATAACCCACATGACTACCAAGTGACTAACAGGTGGGTAGCATTTACAGCATAGATATGCTAGTCAAAGGGACTATTTATACTACTAGCAGATGGAATAGAATAGTGTGGACTTTCTCATGCTACAGAGAATGGCATGCAATTTAAAATATATGAATTGTTTGTTTCTGGATTTTCTGTTCAGTATTTTTGCATGGTTGTCTACTGTGGGCAGTGAAAAAAATGAGGAAAGTGAAGTTGTAGATAAGGGAATATGATGGTACATGTTTTGATATGTTGGCTTGATATTCCTAGGTTATCCTGTTTTGGCACCTGCTGCTTACTATGACCAAACTGGTGCCCTTGTGGTGAATGCTGGAGCCAGAAATGGTCTTGGCGCTCCTGTTCGGCTAGTAGCTCCTGCCCCAGTCATCATTAGTTCCTCAGCCGCCCAAGCAGGTGAGGTGAATCTGACTGACTCCTGTCAGAGATTTAAACAGGTGGGACTAATCATGACAGTCTCAAAAGTAAGGGGAAATACGCAGTATTTGATAATCTCAGTATTCACTGTGTAATATTTCAAATATAGAAACAGGAGCAACATTTGATCTCAGTGGATTCTGAGTCTCCCAAGGGGCATGTATCATAAGGTTAGGAGCAAGGACTGGCTTCACTGGGAGCATAAGAAGTTGGATTTCTCACATAAGGTGACAGTGTTGAAAGAATTCCAAGGCAACAGTCACAGAAACAAGTCATTGTTTTTCAGATAATTTTTTGGGTGTGTGTGTTATTTTTTGGATTAGGGGCAGGGATGGGAGATGTGAGCAAAAGTAGTACAAATTGGCAGAGTGAAATTTTTGATTGGGGAAGTGATACTTTTTAAATTAAGATTTACATGCTTTAAAAAAAATAAGAAGAGAGCAGTATGTGGAAGATGTTTAAGAAAAAGAGTTCACCATTTATAGCTATGGAATTTGACGTTTTAGGAAGTAGTAGTATTTGATGTTTGTACTCCTTTTTAACTTCAGAAGCTTTAAGTTAGCTGCCAGTATAGTGAACTTGCTCCTGTGATATTTTTAACTTCAAATTGAAAGTAGAAATAGAAACTTTGAAATCAAAGATTTTTATAGGTTTTTTTTTTTTTTAAAAACAAGGTCTGTTTTTGCCTTGAAAAGATAGACAGTATTAAAAATGTTTTTAAAAATGTATAAAGATGTGGTTTGGAAATGTGACCCAGACCTTCTTTTTATAGCTAAACCACTTGCTTTCTTTTTCATAGCTGTTGCAGCAGCTGCAGCTTCAGCAAATGGAGCAGCCGGTGGTCTTGCTGGAACAACAAACGGTCCATTTCGCCCTTTAGGAACCCAGCAGCCTCAGCCCCAACCCCAGCAGCAGCCTAATAACAACCTGGCATCCAGCTCTTTCTATGGCAACAACTCTCTGAGCAGCAACTCACAGAGCAGCTCCCTCTTTTCCCAGGGCTCTGCCCAACCTGCCAACACGTCCTTGGGATTTGGAAGCAGCAGTTCTCTTGGTGCCACCCTGGGATCCCTTGGAGGGTTTGGAACAGCAGGTAGAAATCAGTTGATATGCTGATTAAAACTGATTTTTAATTATTTTTTTACAATCTTTCTGGAACCCTGACAACACGTGGAACCCTGGATAGGTACCAGACAGGTCTGGACCGAGCCCCTTGGGAATCCAGCCAGCCCACATAATCTTTGAGATAATGGACTATTGAAATCAAATTACACAGTTGGGGCCTATGTCCATGCTCATACTGCTACTTATTTATACTCACATAGTCAGTTTGTTTCAGGGACTTGAAAACCAGGGCAGACTTCTACAGGCATTGGGATAAATGTGTAGAGACTATAGAAATGTGGTTGTTAAAACTGTAGGGAGGAGGACTTAGTGAATACCACAGGGCTGAATGCTCCATATTTGAGACTTGCCCGGTGCTAGTTTGTAGATCATAGAGAATTAGGAGTTTTCTCCAGTCTTCTGAAGAACATTAAGGTAGGCATTGTGGAAAATTGGCAGGAAGGATATAAATTAGACCATGATAGTTTTAATGTTTTCCTGGGAGAAAAAAGCAGTAATTGTAGTCGTTGAACAGTGGGAAATTGCAGTGGCTATAAAACAGTGTGATCTCAAAGCAGAAGGGCATGTGAGAGAAAATACCCTAATTGGAATCTGAGGCTAGTAATAACTAGATTGAGCCCACTGAGAAACAGGCTTTCTGATGTAAGTCTTGCATTGTGGGGCAGCACCCCATTTGTTGATCTTTTTTTTTTCTGTATTCCATTTTTCTGTTAGAACCTTTGGTTGATGAAAGGCATTCTTTCTAGTACATTTTCTTTCACCCTTTTCCATAGTTCATGTGGCCGTCAGAGCTTTTAAAATCCACCGCGTCCCATAATAATACAACACCAAAGTAAGGTAAATTTGGCATATATGTGTGATGGCTTGAACAAAAGTTTCATGTTAACCTGAGCCATGTCCTCTTTATTACTTGACCCGTAGAAATGCTACATTAACAGGCTGTCTCTGCTGACAAATTTGCGGTGGTAAGGAGTCTGGATCAAAGTACCAAGAACAGGTCACTGGGCTTGTTCTTCGAAGAACAGGCCTGTTCTTATCTGCATTGTTTTAATTCCATTTTAGTTGGAAACTCCAACACTGGCAGTGGCTCCCGCCGTGACTCCCTGACTGGCAGCAGTGACCTTTATAAGAGGACATCGAGCAGCTTGGCCCCCATTGGACACAGTTTTTATAACGGCCTTAGCTTTTCCTCCTCTCCTGGACCCGTGGGCATGCCTCTCCCTAGTCAGGGGCCAGGACATTCACAGACACCACCTCCTTCCCTCTCTTCACATGGATCCTCTTCAAGCTTAAACCTGGGTAAGAACCATTACTCTAACACCACCTTGAACTCTAGAAATCTCTTGCCACCAATGACATTACAAGCACTTTGCATAAGCAGAGGATGATCCCTTTTTCCTAGGAGTGTCCTGGGTGCTCTGTGCCTTCTGTAAATACTTCGTGTTGTTTAGGCTGTACCTGTAGCTAGTAAAGCAGTCTGTGATTGTTTAGCATCTGGGTACCCTGTACATTCATCTCAGCACATTTTGTGCTTTGGCTGCCTGTGGTATTCTTTAATCATCAACACAGTACAGGTTCATTGTAGTGAAGCTGGAGAACATGGACAGAAAAAACTCATTTAGTGTCAACACCTGAGATACACCACAATTAATATTTTGCTTTATTTCTTGAAGATTCCTTCCCATGTATATATGGTTAATAAACTACTTTTTCACATAAATAATTTTATTTAAAATTTTTGCCAGAGTCTTACATAAGTATTTATAAATATACTTTAAAAAGTGGCACAGCATGCTAATGTGTAGATACATATTTCCTTATTATATATTTAGGCTTTTTTATGTATGAGGAAGAGAAAAGGTTCCAGACAGCAAGCTATAAGAATGAAAGTTATTCTTGCAGTAGGTGGCAAATCTCAATCTTTCAGGAAGTCAGAGATGATTTGTTATCACAGACACATGGTGAATGTTCTCGTCTTGCAGGCGTTTATCAAGTTTGATACTTGAAAGGGGAAAGTTGGGGCCCAGAAATGGTGTGACCTCATATTTTATAAGAGAAGAGAGTGCTATTAATCATTTTGTGTTGGTACACCTTGATCAGAACTGTCATAGCAAAAAGCCATGAATGGCTGCTTCACCTAGAAAATTCTGTCTTTAACCAGCAAGTTTAAAGATGGCATTACAGACTCAGCAATGAGGACTAACTAAAAATGAATAGGATACTTTATTTGAAAAGCCAAAGACTGGAAATGGTTTATAAGCATGGAGAAGAACCTAATTGTGTAAGATAATGAAGTTATTCTAGAGCTAAGAGTTGTATCTTTGAGTTTGAAAGAAAAAATAAGAAGGGAGGTGAAAGTCCCAGTATGATTTATGGATAGAAGGGAGGAATGAATTTTCATTGACCTAACACTTACCTGCTAGTGTATTAATGAGTTTGGGACCTGTACAGACCTGGGCTGGAAGGTGTAGGCATTATTTCCATGTTACACATATGCAAAATCTGCATCTCAGAACTTAAATTTTGTCATGCTTAGGTGGATTCAGATTTGAGCGCTTTTGATTCCAAAACATGCTGTTTTAGTATATGTTAGTTCTCTACATGATGTGCCAAGGATATCTTTTGAACCAGTGCATTATCAGATCTAGAAATACTGCCTTTTAATTTCATTTAAAATTTGAACTCCCTCATACTATTTAGTACTAATTAAATCTTCAGAGTTTGATTTATTTAGTAATTAATGGAGCCACATAGTAAATATTTTAGGTTTTGTGGGCCAGATTTACAAAAATAAGTGGTAAGGCAGAGTGATTCTTTTTTTTTTTTGTATTTTAGGGAAGGGTCTACAAGGGTGTTCAGGGTCTCACTACTAGATCGGGCTTGTAGTGATTCGCCTGTTTATAGCTTCCCAAGAGTTGGTGCCACCACGCCCAGTCTCCAGAGTGATTCTTGAGGCTGTAGTTTTTTGACTTTGAGCTAAATGTTGTGGCTTCTTGGCATATAAAAATGGAGCTGGAAATATTTGCATGCATAATGCCTTTCATTTTTCCAGTGTATCAGCATTTGAATGAAATACTTCATAATTCTTCCTTTCCTTGTTAAATAGGAAATAATTGTTTTAATTCTTTTAGTGACTTGCTGCCTTTATAGGTTTATTTTTAGCATTTTAACATATTAACATATAAAAAAGTAATCTGGCAAGCACAAGGATCCTGAGTTTGATTTGTGTGCCCCCCCATTAATCTTAAGTAATTTTATTTGTGTGCATTTGCATTGAATGTCTGTTCCTATATGTAGTATATATCATGCCATTCCTGAGAAAATTCATGTCTGGATCAATAGGGCTTTGACTCAGCTCAGTCTGCTTCATTGAAAAAATAGAGTTTTTTTCCCCTTTGTTAAAAAATAGGTGAATGGTAATTGCTTTCTAATACTGTCTAGGAAAAGGCCTTAAATCTTTCTTGTGGTGCAAGCCACCTAAAAATGCATATTGAGCCACAGCTAGTACAGCTCCTTGTTAGTATTGCTTCACGGCTGCTGCCAGCTCTCTGTCACTGTATCATGAATGTGCATTTGATGGCCAGTGTGTTGAGTACTCAAGTAATTCCTCTACACATGGAAACTTAAGCTTGGCATGCTTTGAAGTAAAGATTTTAAATAGCACACAGGTAAGAAGCATTGGAATGTACACACTGACCTATCTCACTGTTCTACCAATGTTGGTTTCCCCCATCACGTCATTGTTGTACTTTTTCCAACCAAGAGTCAGGTATATATTAGAATATTTCTTTTTTTTTTCTTTTCTTTTTTTCTTTCTTTCTTTCTTTTTTTTTTTTTTGTGGAACCAGGGGTTGAACTCAGGCCCTTGTGCTTGCCAGAGAAGCGCTTATTCCACTGAGCCATCTCCCCGGCCCCTAGAATATTTCTTTAAAAAACTCAGTGACCAGGCTGGGGATGTGGCTCAGTGGTAGAGCACCTGGTTTGCATGCACAAGACCCTGGATTTGACCCCTGGCACCACCATGCTCCCTCAAAAAACCACACAAACCACATTGACCTGCTTATTTTTTCCTTTATTCATCGTTTGAGTGCCCACTTAAGAATCTTCAGTGGCCTTTTATTACCAATTGTTTGATATTCTTTTTTTTTTTAAATATTTATTTATTTTTATTTATTACATTTATTTATTGTGTGTGTGTGTGGCCAGCTCAGCCCACCAGGGGGCGGGGCTGGCTGGCATGTGGTGCTGGAGGATCGAACCGAGGTCCCTATGCTTTGCCAAGCTTGTTTCAAGTAGGTGCTTTAGACCACTGAGCCATCTCTCCAGCCCCTGTTTGATATTCTGACATAGAAAAAAAACAAACAAAACTCTACCAAGTTACAAAACGCTAAAATTTGTCCCTTTTAGTTGTACTGTTTGGTGTATTTTAACAACAAAAGTTGTGCAGCAGTTATTGCAAACCCAGTTTAGAATACTTCCATCTCTTCAGTGGAAATCTTCCAGTTAAATTATAGTTAATCCCCATTCTCATTTTTCAAAAAAAATTTTAATCTTTATTTTTGACCTTTTTTTAATATTTAAGACAGGGTATACACAGTGTACAGGGTCTGACTGCGTAGATCCGACTTATAGTGATCCTCCTATTTATAGCCTCCCAAGAGCTGGGATTACAGGCACATGCCACCACACCCAGTCTCAATTGCTGTCACTGTGCGCCCTGGGGGCAGGGAGATTGGACTCCCTGCCCCTGTGTCTGCCTAAGCAGAGCTTTTTTTTTTTTTTTTTTTTAATTGTGTGTGTGTGTGTGTGTGTGTGCGCGCGCGCGCGCGGCCAGCTCAGCCCACCAGGGGGCGGGGCTGGCTGGCATGTGGTGCCGGGGATTGAACCGCGGACCCTGTGCTTTCCGAAGCTTGTTCTAAGTAGGTGCTTTAGGCCACTGAGCCATCTCACCAGCCCCCCTAAGCAGAGCTTTAATCCGCTGAGCTGTTTGATCGGCCCTCTATTTTTGACTTTAAAAAGAAATTTTTTTTTTTATGTATTTGGTACAAGGTCTCACTGTGTACAGTTCAGATTCATAATGATCCTCCTGTCTCAGCCTTCCCAACGCTGGGATTACAGGTGTGTGCCACCACGCCCAGTTTTGGTGACATAAGGTACCAGGGATTGAACCTGGGTCCTTGTGCTCGCTAGGCAGGTTTAGACCACCGAGTTATCTCCCCAGTGCTGCGGCCCCAGGCGCGTTCCTTCCATCCCCCAGTTCTCATTTTGACTCTGCATTTTCTGGACATATTACAATATGTGGTCTCTTTTGTACAATGCTAATTTTTGGTTTTTGAAGTTTTTAAAAACTTTTTGGAGACCAGGTTTTTCAGTGTAGTCCATGCCAGCCTTGGAGTCACTATGGAGCCCAGGTTGACCTCAAAATCATAATCTTTCTCCCTGAGTCTCCCTCCTCAAGGGCTTGAGTTATAGTCATGTTCCACCACACCCAGCTTGGTTTTTGATTTCATCTATGACATGTTATGCACCAGCAAATTGTTCCTTATGAGTTGTCTTCCATTTTATGTACAGGCCACAATTTTGCTCTTCCACTTAGCAGCCAGTGGACATTTATTGGGTCCAATTTTTGGCTGTTAGAAATAACATTGCTGTGAACACTTGCATGAAGTCTTTGTGTGGACACATTTGTTTCTTTAGGGGTAGAGTTGCTAGATTGTATGATAACTTTGTGTTAAACTTTTTGAGAAACTCCAGCTGTTTTACAAATTGCTGTATCATGTTTGTATTCTTACCAGCAGCATAAGCAGGTTCCAATTTGTGTACTTACTTTTTCGTCAACATTCAGTTCTGTCAAGCCGGGTGTGGTGGTGCATGCTTGGAATCCCAGCACTAGGGAGGCTAAGGCAGGAGGATCCTTGCAAGTTCAAGTCCATCCCGGGCTACAAAATGAGCTCAAGGCCAGTTTGAACTGCATAGCAAGGAGACCCTGTGCCAACCCCCACCCCCCAAACCAAAATGAAGTATTCATTTCTGTCTTAACACATTTCTGCTGGCTTGAATCATTGTTGGTGCACACATGATTGTCTTATTGGGCAGCCTGTACTACTGGTAGTTCAAGAAGCACAGTCATGTATGGGACAGTCATACACATACCATGGTGGTTCAAACTAGCTAGTAGTCAGGCACTGTGATTATATTTCCATTTTCCTGATACCGAATGATCTAGACTCTGGAAATCTTTCAGTATGTTTATTCATTTCTTTGGAAAATCTGCCTACTTTTTAGCATTTTAAAAATTA